AAAGAATTTGTCATTAGGGAGAATTAGTACCGAATAATTTATTAACTGTAAATGGCTCCTCGTTGGGAGGATTAAATACAATCTTTTTATTAAAGCAGTCTATGGTGGCGTGATACGCCGCCAGCCAATCCATTCCTAGGATTACATCAAAATCCCCTGTGTCTAACCCTATCAGGTCTACCCTCAATTTCCTATCTGCTATCTCCACGGCACATGCCCTGTAGACAACCTCTCCTAGTAATGTCTCCCCCCCAGCGGTGGATACAAACAATAATGAATCAAGTCTATCAGGTGGTACACAAATTTTGGAAGCAAGAACATGTGAAATAAAAGAATGTGATGCACCAGTATCAAACAAAATATGAGCAATGTGGCCAGAGATAGTATACATACCATGTACCACGTCCGGGTCTGCATCGGCATCCTTCTGGGTAAGGTTGTAAACTCTGCCCTGGATTGGAGGCCTCCCTTGATTCTGGTTCCTAGGACACTCCCTCGCATAGTGCTGGGCACTGCCGCATATGCGACAGGTGTTGTTGAGGCGGTAGCAGGGTCGGTCCCCATGATCCCTGCCGCAGTACTGGCAGATCTTCCCACGAGCTGCCCCCATAGCCTGAGGAGGGCCCTGAGCGGCAGGCCTGGGTCTCTTGCTGGGTTGGACCGGCATGGTAGGCGCTGGCCTGCGGAGCGGGGCTGAAGGTCGGGAACTTCCCGCTAGCTGAGGGCGGGTGTCGAAGCTCCTTTCTATGATCTGCGCCTTTGCCAGGACTGCCGAATATGTCTCGAGCTCCATCACCAACAAGTGCTGTCTGATCGCCGGGCGGAGACCCCACTGGAATTTCCTGGCCTTTCGGCCCTCATCCAACAATGTCTCCGGGGCATGTCGGCCCAGCTCCAGGAACTTGCGGGCATACTCCGACACTGTCATATTACCCTGGACCAACTGAGCAAATTCAATTTCCTTTAAATGTTGGATGTGCTTAGGGAGATACTCCGCATGGAAAGCCGCTAGGAACTGCTCCCAAGTAACTGGTACAGGCAGGGTGGCCCGCTTGAGCTCCCACCAGCGTACTGCTTCCCCTACCAGCATGTAGGAGGCAATGGCAGCCCTCTGCTCAGGAATTACTCCCAAGGTCTCAAAGGCTCGCTCAGTCTCCGCCAACCAGTATTGGGCCTCTTCAAAAGAGGATTCCCCCGAAAAAGTAGAAGGGTTCAGTCTCCTGTACCTCTCTATGAAGCCAGGGTCGATCAAGGAGGGAGCGGGGTCCCGAGGTAAAGGAACTGGGGCCGGCTGAGGGTGAACTGGGGGACCCTGTGGTGGCGCCTGCTGATGGGGTGGGGGCACTGGAATGTGCTGTGGCGGTACCTGTTGGTACCGTGGCTGTGGTACCGGGTCGTACCGCGGCTGTGGTGCCGGGTGGTACTGTGGAGGAACAGGCTCCTGCCGGGGTGGCTCGGGATCAGCCTGCTGTAACGGGGGCTCAACCTGCGCTAGCGGAGGAGGTCCGGGTAACTCCCTTCTCTCCTCTTGCCTTCGCTGAGCAGCTACGAGAGCTTCCACCATCTCATATAATCTGTCCCAAATCCTCCCGAAGCGAATTATCTTGGGCCGCTCGGTTTAGTGGGGGCCTTCCTCTCCTCATTTCTGTGTACCTGCATTTACAGGAATGGTTGAGTAACGACCAATCGGTGAGTATTTCTTTAAAGGACTATAGTGTAAGGGATGGGTCCGAGGAAATGCGGCTCTGATACCAACTGTAACAGCCCCGGAAAATATTAAAATGAAATGAGTATTTAAATATATCGAATGCGGAAGCGAGATCAAAATTTCATTTAACATCCCTTACACGAAAAACCAAAAACGTACTTAAAATATAAAAGATTAAACTAACTAAGAAAGAAACTCGAAAATAAAACTATGCGTATGACTACAGAGTCTCTAGGCATCCCCTTCGTCGTCCTCCTGCGGAACGGGCTCGGGAACCATGTCTTCCTGATCTGAAATGGTTAATTAAGGAGTGAGCTACACTAGCCCAGTAAGAACATCACGATATCTCACCGTCACGGAGATAAAGGTGGGTAAAAAACCACAAAAAGACCAATGGAGCATAATTTACAATAAACTCGTTTATTAACAACAAAACCTTTTATCAATAATAAAACTTTGACCATCCACTTACCTTGGTGGAATTTATGAAAACAATATGAGAAAAACAATAACATTATCATAATCATTGAATAATCTAAGCTGTAAAACATAACACTTATCACGCCTCTTGTAATTCAATCATTGTACAACATATCTTTTTCTCATTTACCAGCCTACTAGTATCCGTGGGGGTCCATAGGGGTTCCGCTACCCGTTAACCTTTAACATTCATAATCAGTTTCCAGGGCCGTCCCCATACCCCGTCCGGTATGGGCGCCAAAACCATGAACCTCAATACCCCGTCCGGTATGAGGGTGAAACGGGCCGTTCCCATACCCCGTCCGGTATGGGCGCCAAAACCATAAACCTCAATACCCCGTCCGGTATGAGGGTGAAACGGGCCGTCCCCATACCCCGTCCGGTATGGGCGCCAAAACCATAAGATCTCCATACCCCGTCCGGCATGTGAGACCACAATTCCGGTAGGGTTCCCTACGGACCCGGTCCGTCCACCATCTCCCAGGATATCTAGTCAGGCTGACCCCCATAATACAATTATCAGTTTACACAATCTTTCATTTTTCCTTTTCCTCAATCAGCATCATCAATTCACATTTAAACAAGCAAATCGTAATTCATACCAAACAGACAACATACAGTATCAGTTTTTCAGTCATTCAACCCATAATTAATAAAAACGTAGTACATGCACACAAATCTGTAAAATGAACACATCAAACCTCATTTTGCATTTAAAGCTGTAAACAGGCCAAATAACAGTAAACCACCAATCACACTAGACTCGGGCTCCATTAGCTACCTTAAGCAATTTCACACATGCATTAATTCAAGAAATACCGTTTTATCATTTTGAACTTTAATACCGTGATAGGAAATAAGGTGAGGGGTCCTTACCTGTTTTCGGGATCCGAATACGATTCACAGTGCGCCTGCAGGCTGTCCCTAATTTTCCCCTGAATTTTTCCCGGGGAACTGAAACACGCTCACAGTACCTGCACGGGTTCCAAAAAAATCCAAATTAGGCCCAGGGCCTCTTTCGGCCCAAATCGCAACTCCGGCACGGCGGCTCCGCCGTGCTCCGGCGACGGCGCCGCCGCTGGCGGCGGCGAGTCGCCTCGGGTTGACTGTTTTCGGCCGTTTTTGGCCGAATTCGGCCACACTCGCATTGGTCCTTGTCAGAAAACAACCCTAGGGCCCTCGGGGGGCCAAAAAATCACGGAAAAACGGAGCTTACCGGCGGCGGCGCTCTCGGGTACGGCGACTCTCCGGCGAAGTTCGTGTTTTGGTGATTTGGCTTCGGTCAACCTGTAGAGAAAAGAATGGTGATCACGGTGATATAAAAATTGCATCGAACGGAGGCCGGGAAGGGCCTCGTCGGAGGCAAAAACCGAGAGGGGGCGCGGCGGTGCCGCTGGGCTTCGGCCGCGTATTCCGGCCGTTTGGCCGGGATTTCGGCTTCGATTTGGCCATAGGAGGAATCAGTGGGGAAAAACGAGTCGGGGGTATGAAATTTACCTCGATCGGCGGTCGGAAATTTCCCCGGTGCGGCGGCGAGTGGCGGCGGGTGGCGGCGGTCGGCCTCTGGTTCGTCTTCTCCGGCGAGCGGCTGGCGGCTAGGGTTTGTGGTCTGGTGTGGAGGTTCTATTTATAACCCCTTGCCTTTTGATCACAGCCGTTCATTTTGTTTTAATCTGGGCCGTTTGTTTTTGATTGAATCTGGGCCGTCCGTGCGATTGAATCTGGGCCGTCCGATCGCGTGATTGATCTGGGCCGTCGGATCGCACCCACGCGGATCGCCAGCGTGGCTCCTTTTGGAGTGACGCGGTCTTGCCACGTGGCAGGCCCTGGTTGGCCGGGACTGCTGACCGGGCCTGCTGACGTGGCTGCTGACGTGGCCGCCCTTTTTTTTTTTTTTTTTTTTTTTTTTTTCTTCCTTTCCGGGTGCTACAACCAAGCTCCCTGAGGTTACCTTTAATGTTTAAATATGGTTAAAATATACCTATTTTTGGTGCCGGCATTCCTTGGTCGGGACCATCATATTGCTTTCCCTCTAGGAAGAACTTGAGATTGAATCATTTCATTGTTTGAACCATGTTCAGAATTTCTTTTTCTTTTTTCCTATTAAATGCGGTCCATAACTTGATGTCTGTAGAATGGCTCTTTGAGACGGAAATTGTTATGGTGCTTGATACCATGTAGATTTCTATTTTTATGTTGTGCAGGAAAAGAAATTCCTGAAGCTGATGATGTGCAAAGAATGATGCTTCTTGCAGGTGCTGACCATGTATTGCATAAGGTTTGGGAATTCATTGTCTTTTAGGATATGGGTTTTCAATTTCCTTTACCATATGAATGTTGTTACAATCAGGTAGAGGTTTTATCTGAGGCCTAGGATCTGGCTTTTTTTGGTTTTTTTTTTGCCCTGAATTTCGACAATATGAACCAGGGTTTTAGACTTATCCCAAGAGGGTGCTGCAAGCTAGCAAGAGGTTGCCTAATTGTAACTGTGATGGATATTGTTGTGAAGTAATTATCATTTATTCCTTAATTAGTTGTCAGCCTGTTATTAACTTGTCATTTTCTTCCCTTCCATTGGGATTAGTCCGTCCATTAACAACTGTAAGATTTTTAGTTATCTTGTAAACATTATAGAGAACGGGGGAGATGAGAGGAAAATTTATTTGCTGTTTAGTTGACAGAGTCTTAGTGGCAGATACTAGGTAGTTCTAATGTTATGTCTGAAGCTAACATTTATTTTGTTGTTCTTATGATACTTCCCCATCTTAGGAGTGCTTGCTTGTAACAATCTTCTTTTCGGAAAGATTAATATTATTGTTTTAGTTTGTTATGACTCATCACTTTTAGTTATATACTGTGTCTTACTACCACAAAATTTCCAGGTGTTGTTCTGGGAGAAGGCACAAAGTGAAGTTGAGAGATTAAAGTTGAGGTTTTCACAGATATATTATAATAATCTCCTCACAGTAAGATCTTCTTAGTTGATCCTGTAAATTTTATTTTTATGTTGCAACCTCAACAAGTTAAAATTGCTAATATTATTCTTCATTCAGCTAATGAAACCAGTGGACGGACTGGAAGAGTGGCTTGACGCAGTGTCCACAGCCCGCATCCCTTGTGCTGTTGTTTCAAGTTTAAATCGGAGAAACATGGTCGATGCCCTAGAGCGGATGGGACTGTTAAAATATTTCCAGGTTAAAAATTTTTTGCTTAGAAATAAGAGAGAAGGCCACTAGTTCCTGTAATAGTCTATATATATGGTCCAGCTTGTGCAATCTGGGTTATTGTTTTGAGGGCCTAGTTAAAAGTTAAAACTTTTTCTGTTCAATAATTTTCTGTTACTGGCACAAACCTGCCATCTTCATCATTTTCTTTGTCTTTTGACCTCTGTTTGATCTTTTTTCCCTCAGGAAACTTGTTGCATTTTCGCATTTCATTTGTTATTTCTGAAGAAAGTCAAATAGAGCATTTGGGGGCCTGGCATAGTCTTTAGCTATATTCTCTACGAATGAGATTTGCCACTTCATTTATGACCACAATGGATCACTTAGTAATGAGAGCTTCCAATAAAATTTGCCATATTACATAGTTGACGCAAATTTATGAAAGTTTCTTTTCATTATTCCAGTTCAAACCTTTGCTGGTGTTTCCTGGAACTGACATCTGTATTTTTAAAACTTCAGGCAGTAGTTTCAGAGGAAGATGGCATGGAGTCAATAGCTCATAGATTTCTTTCTGCAGCTATGAAGGTATATCCACTTCCTATGATTCATGCATTAAATATGACGTTTATCTTATATAAATTTGAAGGTTGTCAGCCAGTAAGTCTATCACCAGTTGGTGTTATAGTTAATTTTCATGCATGACCTAGTATAAAATTTTTAATTTCTAGACTAATGTTTCTTCAAGATATTCCTCTTGTATTTGACAATGTTTAGCATGTTATCTGCCCTCAATTAAGATTACAGCATCCACGCAAAAAAATAAAAATAAAAATAAAAATAAAATAAAACTTAAGATGATAGCATGATATGAATAGGCTGAGGAATTTGCTAATTGTCTTTAGCATATAGATTTTTCAATTTCTTATTACAAGCCTTGTGCTGATTTCTCACTTAACTGATGAACTAATTCTGCTGCCGAGTTATGGAAGGCATGGCTAAGACCTGTTTTGGAGAAGGTTAAGAGCATTTACTGTGTTTCTGCGAGTAGGATTTCCAAAATGCTTTTTTTTTTAAAAAAAAAAGGATTTCCAAAATGCTTGTTTAGGCATCCCTTAAAAGCATTACTAGGTGCTTGATTCCTCTGCTTTGCATGTTCTGGTTCTTCTTGAAATTCAAAGCACTTAATAACATATGGTGGAAGTTGCTAGCAGAATGGTATCCCAGATAAGGCAGTTAAAAAAACACTGAAATGTTACTTGTTCTTTCATGAAATCTTTGAGCATGACATTGTCACTACGAAAATGAAAAACCAAGAAAGTGCTGATGTCACAGTTGTTTTTGATATGTTTGCGTGTAAGTTCCTTGCAGTTGGACCGGAAACCATCCAAGTGTGTGGTGTTTGAGGATGATCCCAGAGGCATAACTGCAGCTCACAACTGCACTATGATGGCTGTGGCATTAATCGGCACTCACCCCGCGTATGTATCCACCCTGCTACCACTTTATGCATACAACCATGTCCGTGCACACAAGCTGCTAGTATAATAGCTTTAGAAAGAAGCATGTATGAAAGCACATATTCATGTATGCACAAAATGCCTGCAACAACTCAAAACTATTCTTCTCTAACGTGTATCCTTATCTGTACATATGTTCATATCTATCCGGACCGGTGGGCAAATAGAAGTTCATGGTGTTTTCCTCGCCATATAAATTTGTAGTCTTTGCGCTGTACTAATTTACTGGTGTGGAGATCTGCAGGTATGATCTTGTCCAGGCTGATCTTGCAATTGGGAACTTTAACGAGCTTTCAGTGATCAACCTCCGGAGATTATTTGCTAATAAGGGCTCTACTTTCATGGACAGACAAAAGCAGATAATTAAGGATGCCCCTCCAAAAAGAAAGCTCACTGTTGACACCATCTTTTGATTCCATTTCACTCAGCTTGACATTCTTTCTTTTCCAATTTTCTCCCTGTAATTAAGCGTTCGAGCATCGTCTAATCTTGTCTAGCCTGCCCTTGTTTTTACCTTTCTCATTTAAGGACATTCTTTTACTATATATTGTACTAATAATTGTATGTATCAACTGTTGTATTGTGATTTAAAATCAGGAGTAGATGGAGATAGAATCTTGGCATTCTTGTTTCCTGGATGTCGATCATCCATCATTCTTTATCAACTATTTAAAATTTGTGTTTATTAACTTGTAAAAATAATGTATGCCTGTGCTATATGTATTATGTCAACTAACTTGGACAATCAATATATTCATGTACTTTATCAGCATAATATATATTTAATAATATTTTATTTATAGATTATTTTTTGATTTTCACAAAAATAGAGATTGGAGATTCAACTCTGTGACTCGTACCATTATTAATTTAAAAAAAGGATGTAAAATATGTGTATGATGAATTTTTACATCATATACGTACATACATTTTGTTATCTTTTAGTCTAATAAATTAATTTCATAAGATTTTATAAAATATTAAATAGTATCATATATCATAATAATTTTAACAAATAAATTTATGAATGTATTCTTTTTATAATATTTTTTAATATTTAATTTTTAAAAAAAATTAATTACAATAGAATTCTTAAATATGATTGTTATTTAATATTTTTGGTATTTAATAAAGAATTGGTTTTTAATTAAAATAAATAAATCTATTTAAAAGATATAAAATACAAGAACTTGGAACAATTAATATTAATTAAGAAAGAAAGAATGAAAGTCAAGGCTGACATGGCGAGGAAAGGACAAAGTAGAGGAAGTAGATTGGCAAATTTGGCTGCCCTTATCATCATCTTTCTATCATCTCTGATCTCTCTGCTTGTCAATCTAATGGTCTTTTTTCTCTTCACAGCAACAGAGATGCCAACTCGTTTCAGACCCTGAGAGATTTAAAGCCCCAAGTCTCATCCTTTTTCCAGCCTCCCAAACAATGTCTTGCATGTATAGCAGTACCAGCTCCGTGCCTTCTTTCTCTGCTCTTTCAATTTCTCCTCGGAAATCTCTATCGTCTTCGAAACCCCAAATTACTCGCTGTTCCCTTGGAGGTAGTTCCCAAACTCGGTCTCACATGGGTTGGTTTGTTTTTCCATTTTTCAGAACCTATTCTCTATGCTTGGTCTGGCTGCCGGGAAAATGTGGGAACTTGGAAATGAACATGAGTCAAACTTCCTGCTTTCTGGGATTTTTCATCATTTTGGAACATAATTTCTGTATTGCTTAGCTGAGCTGTATTAGATTTGATTTCACTACTTTTCTTTGCAATCAAATGCGGTATGAAGTCGCAATTTTTATTTCATTTCCTCTTTGTTAAGTGGCTAGAGCTAGTTGGGTAAGATTTATTACGGTTAATTGGGCTTAATTGTGCTCAAGCAAACTCTATTTTGAGTATAACTCATTCTTATGTGAATTGTTTATAAATTATCCTGGGGAAAAGTATGTTCATTCTTTTTTTTTTCAACTTTCAAGAGGATAAAATTTTACTATAGTTAGACATTACAGTTCAATAAGAAATTATTTTAAAACCCTTATATGGTGAATGATTGCTTGGGACTTAGGAGAATAGAGAAGGGTATTCAATGAAATTGTTGATATGGTTTGTGGGCATTGTTGATGGTGATATTTTATAGAAAATGAGGCTTACTTATTTGAGTAATTGGTTTGAATAGGTATGATTTTGCTAGCGTATCGGTGTAGCATAACAAAGTTGTAAGGTTGTACATAAAGTTGTTAGCTTTAGCTACAAATTAGGTGGTGGGAAATGTCTAACCTCATTGCCTATGCATTTCCAACTAGCATATGTTGCGGGTTTCGGAGTATGTCTGACCAATTGTGTTCAAGAGGTTATCATGAGTATTTGACATATCACATTTACTCACTATTCATCATGTTGATGGTTGTGGCTTCTAACCATCTATACAATTCTGATTATAGGGACAGTTGCTGAACCTAAAGTCGTTTCTGTAGCTGAGCCACTGTTGCTTAATGCTGTTAGAGGGAAAGATGTTGAAAGACCCCCAGTTTGGCTTATGAGGCAAGCTGGTAGATATATGAAGGCAGGTTTATATATAATTTTTTATGGACTTTTTTCTAATGCTTGTATTATGTGTTTGTAAGGTTCATTCAAAAGTTTTTCCCTTTGGTAAGTTGCCTGCAGATGGCACTAAAATTATGACTGAAAACTTTAACTTTATTTTTGGTTGTTATCACTATTTACCCTTCTTAGAAGAAAGGGTTTTGCCGATTAAACTTTTGACTCCCAACTGATTGAACAGATGCTTTCTCCTCTTCCACCAAAATGAGGGTTGCATGTTCTTGTGGGAATGAAAATGCTTGACAAGCACACGTGCAACAAACTAGGTTTCAAATTGCAAATGTAAATATCTTTGGTCGTATGGCTTCTGCTTGTTTTCTTTCGGCTGTAATTAGGAGTGCTCTTAAAGAATTTTTGCTTCATGCGTGTTTTATTTCCTCTCTCCGCAAGTTTGGGAAGAATTAGGAAAAGTAGAATGCATCAGAGAAGAGCTATTTTTGCAGGGTTATTGGTATTGTGGTTGTAGTAAAATGAAAGGCTCTTTAAGGACTTCTCCGACCTCTTAGCTACTCTGTGGTAGGATGACATTTTTGGCATTTCTTTGGGTTAAGACTTATGTGTTGTATATGGGTAACTCCATGGCTATTTTGCAAAGAGATTGGACTGCAGTCTTGTATTGTTTGTTGTTTTCTCTTTCTGTATTCTTTTAAGGAGGACCTCCTATTCTCTGTTGATATACTCTCATCCCTTTTCTCCTTGATAATTTTTATTTTTAGTTTGTGCTGTCGATTCTGTTTATCTTTTGGAACTTGCTATATCCATGCTTTTCATGATATCTTTTCTATCTCTATCGTTGTCGTTTAAGTCATTGTCATCATATACTTAGCATCTCCTTAACATATATATAAACACACATATGTTGACTTGGAACTCACATGCTGAGTACTTGTTATGATATAGAGTTATCAAATTATTTGCGAGAAGTATCCATCATTTCGTGACAGGTCCGAGAATGTTGATCTCGTGGTAGAGATATCTTTGCAGCCATGGAATGTCTTTAAGCCAGATGGGGTAAGATATTGTTCGTTTTGCGTTTATGCACAAACAAACCACACAAGCTTAGTGCTCTATATTTGAACCTGAAAATCATCATATCATTTACATTGCTGTTACTCATCTCTTTTAATTGGCTCTTACATCTTTTATGTTTTATATATTGGTTGGTCTCATAGGTAATTTTATTCTCAGACATTCTCACACCACTGTCTGGAATGAATATACCTTTTGATATCGTGAAAGGAAAGGGTCCTGTTATATTTAATCCACTACATTCAGCTGATGATGTTGACCAAGTCAGAGAATTCATTCCGGAGGAATCAGTTCCATATGTTGGCAAAGCATTAACAACGTTACGGAAAGAGGTCTGACTAGCCTTTTTTTCCCCTAAATTTATGTTCTTGATTGTTATATTGCCTTTATTATGCTGACTACTCCTTTTAGATATAACCTCCTATGTTAGTCGTATGTTCGGTTAGATAGTAATCGTTTGAAAGATCAACTCATTTTAACATCTATGGTTGGGAACTATGATTAGATAACCAAAATTAGGTTGAGGGCAACAAGATAACTACCAATAAATAAGGGTTAATTTTCTGGAAGGAGTTGTGAATGTACAGAGAAAAAATGATGGGTGCCTTAGGAACTTGGAATCATGAGGCCATTGTAGTCCACCTTTTGATCATTATTTCCCGACTTAAATCTGTATCTCGTAGCTTTTCAAGCTCTATGCAAGAATCAGGCATGTGTAACCATATCTCTGGCTTTTGCATATACATAATCCGTTGGAGGACTCCAACCAGATTTGCCATACATCTCGATGTGTTTTATGCTTGTTCAATAATAAACATTAGATAAATTCACTTATCTTGGTTGTAAGAATCATAGGAGTTCACCTGTGTGCTTTCTTTATAGGTAAATAATGAGGCAGCAGTGCTAGGTTTCGTCGGGGCTCCTTTCACGTTGGCATCATATGTCGTTGAAGGTGGTTCATCAAAGCATTTTTCAAAGATAAAAGGACTAGCTTTCTCTCAACCCAAGGTAAATTTTCTATCCTCTTCTGTTTAGGATCCTTAAGATCAAATATTTTATCTAACAGACTCTGCTAACCAATATAACAAAAATAATGGTCTAAAGATTGGTTGATACTACCTAGTGGCTATCTTTTCCTTCCATAGGTTCTCCATTCATTGCTTCAGAAATTCTCAACCTCAATGGCAAAGTACATTCAGTACCAAGCTGATAATGGAGCTCAAGCTGTTCAAATTTTCGACTCATGGGCCACAGAGCTTAGTCCTGTAGATTTTGAGGAGTTCAGTCTGCCTTACTTGAAGCAGATTGTTGATACAGTGAGACAGACTCATCCAGATCTTCCTTTAATACTATATGCCAGTGGATCTGGAGGCTTGCTTGAGAGGCTAGCTCTGACCAGCATTGACGTAGTCAGCTTGGACTGGACAGTTGACATGGCTGAAGGAAGAAGGCGGCTAGGAGCTGATATGGCAGTTCAAGGAAACGTGGATCCTGGTGTTCTTTTCGGTTCCAAAGAGTTCATCACAAGTCGAATAATCGATACAGTTAGAAAAGCTGGCAGAGGGAAACATATTTTGAATCTTGGCCATGGCATTAAAGTAGGGACACCAGAGGAGAATGTAGCTCATTTCTTTGAGGTTGCTAAAGGAATTAGATACTCGGATCTGGAATAACATAAGACACTATGCAAAATCTGAGTTTCATTTGTTATTAGACTCTTGTTTTAATCCCTTGATTCTTTGTTTTTAAGGCTGCTCCAAGGTGAAGAATTGCTTGGCGTTGTTAAAATTTTCAGTTTCTTGAATTCATTCTAAGCTGGATGACATTATCTTGACAATAATGGTGTACCAAAATGAAGAATTCAAATTTTGCAATGATAACACATGCGGCATTTTGACCTCTTGTGAACTTGAAGCATGAGGATTGTTGATTCTTTTTGAAGTCTTATAATGGTAAGCATATTATAATGTCCAATGAAATGGCATATTGATGTCCTACAGGAACAGTACTCTTGCAATTATCATCATCATAACTTGGGTTTAACAAGTAATTTGCACTCCTATTATGTTTAATACCAAACTTAATGCACTAAATCATCATAGAATGCAAGCCTTGCAAATTCAGCTTTACCATTTTAATCACCTGGAATGTAATAAGTTTTGAGTAAGCCAAAAAGCTTCTTTTTCTTTTTTGAATACAATATCCAAAATGATAAAAGTGGTAACTCTTTGAAGAAAAATTTCTGGACAAAAATATAGACAAAAGCACACAAAAGCTTCCTTCTCTCTCAAACATGGTCTCTCTCGCTATCCAAAATGACATTAACAAAGTGGATGGACCCAAAATAAAGAAGATATCCGCCATTCTTTAATAAAATGCTGAACTCCAAAGTCCTACTCTTACTATACAATAGCCAAAAGACTTGCCTTGAGAATACAGCTAATGGTAAAATTTCGTGTAGACTTTCCACCATGTTGATTCAGTGGTCCCATTAACCCAAAAATGTCCAACAAGGGAACCTCCAGCACACAAAATCACTTCAATCTGAATTCTCAACTGAATATCCATGGTTGCAGCATGTCCCTGTTTTATGGTAAAAAAGGTCAAGTTAGTAGTGGAAAATATCAAAACAATATAATGTGAGCCGAACTTGGTGAGGACAACTAGACAAATCAAGCCTTGGTTTCTAACCAGAAACTATGTCATACCATTCATGAGAAAACCCATTTCCTCCAGACCAGTAAATCCCATTACTGTCAGTTGAATCAAAGTCCTCGTAGTCTCCATAAGACTCAATCATTTGGAAGTGCTAAAATATAAAACAGTTAGGAGAAGGAAAGGGGTATATCCAGCTTGCATGACGATGATGTTTTAGTGAATATTCAGTAGTACAAACCTTATCCAATTTTCCAACCATAACAGAATCAGCTTCATCATCGACCTGCATTGATCATAATATCATTCTATAATCTTCAAAAACACAGATTTGGAAGTATGAAGTCATGGCATGCCCATATTATGAAGAACAAAATGTTATGAAACGCATTGAAGCTAAAAGGGATTGGTGGGCTCAATATTGACAATAGGAGTCAATGGAATTGAAGATATCATATTAAGGATTTCCCTAGACAATAAACACATTTGACCATGATTCTTTTGTTCTCCATTTCAATTCACAGTACAACTAACCAACCAAGTTCATGGATTGCCAATAAACAAGACAAATCATAGTCCAATTAACTTAAACATATCGTTGATCTCTTCAATATAAGCATTTTGGTGAACAGACCAGGAGATCAAAGTGCATCGATTACCTCAAACATAATGTTAACTTCTTCAATTAAAGCATTTAGATCAAAGTTCATTAATTACCTTGAACATATCTTTAACCTCTTCAATCAAAGCTTTTTCATAGGCTGAGCTCACTTTCTTAGATTGAAGGACATAAGGTAGCCTCTCCTGCAATACAAAAACCATATGTAACTTAGATAATCAGAGCAAGAAACTAATATTAAAACGATTCATGAGTATGATCCACAATAATTTTCAATTACTCAATACCTCCTCAGACATGTTCTTCCAAGTTTCAAAGGCTTCTATATCAATATTAATGGAATCTGCCAGCTTGCAGCTCTCCATAAACTTCTCCCTGTGTTTGGAAAAAAAAAAAAAAGCCATAACATCAACCACTTTTGTTCTACAAATTTTATATTTTGACATTGCTTCTTACTAAGTTCACATTTTTCACCAGTCCCTTTCTCCATTTTCTCAGCAACCAAACAGAAATTGCAGAATAATGAGAAGAAAATGGTGATTCAATGTATTAGCCATCAAATAGAAACCCGTTTATGCGAACGGGTGCTATCACAAAGGAGCACATTACGAGCAAGAGTCCGTCCACGAATCAGAGAGAAACCAAAATGGCCACACCAGAAAATTTTTCAAAAAAAAAAAAAAATTCCTTTCTCGAATATACAACAAACAAAAACCATATGAAGATTACTGGAAGTGAGAAAGCTTACACGAAGAACCGAAAAGGCGATCTGGGCTGCTCACTATAACTGCTCTGTTCGATAGCTTTCGGCTTCCCGCTAATGCCTTTGAATCTTTTAACTTCCTTCATCTTCTTCCCTTCACAATCATGCATGTCGGCCAAAGCAATTGGCACCATTACACCACATCGATCGCTGCATCAAAAACCCATCTCAAAAATCAAAATCATAAACTCTAAAGAAAATACCCCAAAGAGCATTAACGTAAATATAACAACTGTATAATAATATAAATATACATATACACATATGTATGTTGAATACGTAAATATATACCATTTTTCAAAAGCACTTCCATCAGGACCACGGGGAACTGCATGGACCCTTTTACGGGTCCTGGGCGGAATCACCATTAAAGCACCTTCTTCGAGCTCTGCAACTTTTGCTCGCTTAAAATTCCTCTGCTCTTATAATCGAACTACATGCTTATTTCTTAATTATTCAAAATCAAAAAATAACTCCTGAAAAAAGGTTAAATAGATTTCTTTTTTATCAATATCCAAGGAGTACTCCACTTTTTTATGTCACCACCCAATTAGAAAACGCCACTTGGCGAAAGTGAATACTAGTTAAACGAACGAATGCACTTTAGCAAACCCCAAATGGCGCGCAAATTTTTTCTTTTTCTCTACAAAAAATTGATTTTAGAAAAATTAAAAAAAAAAAAAGAGAGAGAAAAGAATTTCCCGCGATAACCTGAAAGTGAGAAGGAGGTTAATGGCGCATAATAATTAAAATAATAAGGTAATGGGAACGAACAGCCAATGAGAATCGGACACGTTGAATGAGGGGGATGATAGCGTCTTACAACTGTCAGAATCAAGCTACGTGAGACAGTGACGAATGAGAGAGGATAGTGGCCACGTCACCCATCACAGGCCGTCAATTTTAGTATTCTCGTATAAGACAAAACGGGATGGGGAGGGTTTTTTGCCGTTTTTGCGCTGGTTGCGTGTGCGATAAACGGGCGATTTGAGAATTGAGATTGATTGATTTGTTGCCGCTCGTAATTGTTTATTTCAATAATTATAAAAACATTTAAAGATTATAAAATTTAAACTGTAGTAATGAAATTTAAAATATATATATTTTTTGACTAATTTTGTTCACTAAAAATTATTTAGATTTTTGTAAAAAGTCAATTAGTTGATAATTATGTGAAGTTTAATTAGGGGTCTAATCGGATTTAACAAATCTCTCTTCAAATGATAACCTCGGAGTTGGTCATTAATGGTATTTGGCACTTCATATTGTAGTTAACCTTAATTACTTTTATGTATCTATAAATAGATATATATATATATATATCCATCTTTGTCTTCTAAACTTTTTGGTATATTTTAATAATTATTTTTAATTTTCTACTTATTTAATTCTCAATTTAAGTAAAATAATATATTAAAATTATAGTATATTCGTAATAATATAGTACACGACGTAACATTATTTAAAAATAACAAACGAAAGTTAAAATAATAAAATTCAGTTATAAAAAATTAATTATTTAAAAATATGCCTAAATACTTTGTAACTCACTATATTATTTGATTTTTTTATATTTACTTTTTATATTCTTCTTATTTTATTTTAATTCAATATTTTAAAAATTTTATCGATTCAATTTTCAATATTAATGTTAAGTGTTAGATTATCAATCATGTATTCAGTCGTTAATACTGGTTATCGAAACGATAAAAATTTAAAAATATATAATTAAAATAAATAAATAAAATAATTTAAAAATAGTACTTTGGCCGAAAAATTTGGATACTATTAGATTAGTTTGCGGGTGCTATTAAATATTTATATTTTCTTTTCACATTTTCTAATATCTATACAGAGTATAAGTTCATTCAAAATTTGAATTAGCAAAAAATTATAATTAAAATGTCAACAAATAAATGTGTATGTATATATATATATATATATGCAAAAGAAGTTTATAAAAATCCAAGAAGAAAATCATGAAACACTGCCAATTCAATCGGGACAGACAACATTTTAGATCTTCAACTGCAATATCTCAATGCGAAATTGAGAACACAACAAATAAACACCAGACAGCAGCTTTACAGTAAAACATACCCAAGAACCTCCAAGAAAGATAAATGAAGCAGAAAGAATATGTTACCACACAACCAAATACCACCCCCATATATCTCAATCTACTACCTACATACATATATATATATATGCATATGTATATGGTGATATATACGTAATAATATTTCAAGCTTGTGGCTTCTTCTTGCATTGCTTTGACAATGGAAGTGAAATGTGGATGAAACCAAATTTTCTCCTCTGAGCAAAGAACTGTTTTTGTTGAGCATCAACAATGTCTTTCTCAGCTCTTGCAGGAAATCTCAGATCCTCTCTTAGTTCCTGAAGCATTTGACTCAGGGCCACCTTCCTTCTCTCATGGTGTCCACCTTCGTTTTGTCCAGCTTCACTCATAAGCTGTTTTCTGCTAAGTATATCACGCATTGAAACTGTTGGCCGTAAACTAGGCTTCGAATCGCCGGTTATCGGAGGTGCCGGAGGTGTTGTTGGCTTCTCGAAATCATTCAACAACGAATGTAGATTATGATCAGATGGGTGGTGATGATCAGGAATCCATCTCCTGAGAGCTTCTTCAGCAGCGAGTTGCTTTTTGCTAGCCATGTCTATTCTGTTCAAAGCTTCTTCCAGTGCTTGTTTGCTGTGTTTAACTTCTTCTGTAGCTTCCTCCAGTTTCTCAAGAACATTCAGTTTAGAGAAATTGTGGTGCATGGCGTCCACTACTCTCTTGTTATAACAAGGTTTTGGCGGCAAAGGAGATGGCAGAGGTTCTAAGATTTCGTTTGATGTCAGAGCTTTCATTTCCGCCATGGCAAGAGCTTCTGCTGCTCGAGCTGCCTCTTCCATCTTCCTCGCTGCAATCAATCTCATCTCAGCAGTACTCTGCATCATACTCCCCTGTTTTTGCTCTCTTGAAACTCCACCAGCTACCTTCTTAATCTGCTCTTTTTGCTGATCACCCTTCAAGAAGCCGCCGCCATTGCTGGTCATCTCTGTATTGCAAGTTAGCCTGCACTGGCGTGTCTTCTCTACTAAGCTCTTCTCCCTCATCATTTTCTTATTGAGAGATTCAACAGACGACTGAATCACTCCAAGATCGTTTATGGTTTTACCAAGGTTCAACTTTGCCTGCTTCAGCTCCATTAAGATCATATCAGGAGATGATGCAGGGCATTGAGTACTGCTACTACTCAAGCTTGCCATCATAGTCTTCATCGTATTATCTTCTTCATTCTTGTTACTGCGATGGTGATCTTCGTTCATTTCTTTGATGTCTGATTGAAGTATCTGCTCTGGGACGGTCATGGATTTACGAGCTTCTTGCTGGAGCTGCCGTTTTAGCTCTTCAACGATGCGTTTTGTGGTTCCAAGTTCTTCAAGAACATCAAGAGTCTCCAGTTCTTTCACTATCAGATCCTTCTCAAGCTCCGCCGCCTCTTCCTCCACTTTCTTTATATCAAACTCTTCAACTCCATTCTGCTCCCACCATAACCAGAAAAAAATTATATTATTATAATTAATTCAGATTTCTTCTTAATCCGAACCAGTTATAATTTTGCTCAAACAAAAACAATAGTCAAACTAAGGGTATAAGTCAACTTAAAAAAGACAAAACACTTACGTAGGATTCCGCGAGCTTGTTATAAAATGGTACCCAAGATCCATGACCGCCGAACCGGGTAACTGCTTCCTTCACCGACCCGAATGGCGGCGACGTATCGATCTCCGCCCTCAAACTCACCTTCCTTATTCCGGGACGGGGACTCCCGCCCGGATATCGACCCGGATCCACGCAAAAACCGAAACTTTCTGCTCCAGGCTCCGACCTCACCTCCCGGATTCCCGGTGTTCGCGGGACTGCTTCCATGGCCGAGTCTTGGGGAGTCTCTGCAAATCTCATTGTCAACGCAAGAGCTCAACGAATTGAATTTAAATTTAAAGGGAAAGGGATTTAAAGAGAAACACATTGAAATAATTAATTGCAGATTCTTTAAAAAAAAAAAAAAAAGGTGGAAAGGATTTCTGGAGATTGTATTGTGATGATTGTGTTTTCAGGTTACTGAGTCATGACTCGCCGAAAAGAACGAAACGAGACAGACTGGGTCCACTTCGCACTCAGTTACCGAGTAGGAAGGGGATGGCTTTTTCTAGGAGTGAAGGGATGAGGGTAAGACTTACAGAGCTTAACACGTGGCTATTTATGAGTGGTAATACATTAGAAAGTCAAACGACGTTGTGTTTTTGACCACAAATTAGCTGGAAAGGGAGGGAGAGCCACGTGTTACTGGATGCAGAAGATCGTTGACTGGAGCTTGACTTCGTCGCGGTGATTGCCGGTTTTCTGGAAGCTATCCGGAATGCAGTTACGTGTTTTGCTTTATGGAAAGGGAAAGCGTTT